TCTATTCTATTCTATTCTATTCTATTCTATTCTATTCTATTCTATTTCTTATTCTATTCTCTATTCTATTCCTTATTCTATTCTTCATTCCAATATTCTATTCTATTCTTATTGTACCCTATGACTATTATTAAGTGTTGTACCTGATGATTCTTGACTGTTGATGAATGTATCTTTTCTTTTATGTACACTTGAGAGCATTTGCACCAAGACAAATTCTTTGTGTGTCCAGTCACACTTGGCCAATGAAGAATTCTACTGTAAGGCTAGCATCAATGAAAATATACAGGTAGTCTTTGACTTACAACTGTCCATTTAGTGACCATTCAAAGTTACAAAGCCACTGAAAAAAGTGACTTATGACCATTATTCACACTTATGACCGTTGCAGCATCCCCACGGTCACATGATTGACATTCGGATGCTTGGCAATTGACTCATATTTATGACGGTTTGCAGTGTTCTTGGCCACGTGATCCCCTTTTGCAACCTTCTGACAAGCAAGGTCAATAGGGAAGCCAGATGTGCTTAACAACGGGTTACTAATGTAACAGCTGCAATGATTCGCTTAAGGAAATGTGGCGTGGGAAGTGGTAAAACGGGGCAAAACTCACTTAACAAACATCTCACTTAACAACATCAACCTTCAATCGTGGTCATAAGTCCAGGACTGCCTGTATTTGTGGCCCAAGATCAAACACAATGAAAGAAGATAAATGGTAGGGAAAAGCCAGGGGAATTGGGGAAAGCCAGGGGAATTCTGGGAGTGGAAGTCCAGTGGCCAAGGTTGAAAACACTGAACTAAATCAACCCGGGGATTATGGGAATTGTAGTCTGCGCTTCTCTGGAAGGCAGATAACGCTTGTGACCCAAGGATGGGTCCAATCCCCAGCAACCACAAAGCCCATGGAGCTTTTACCCTCCTGATCTCTTGTCGGCAGAGGCGCCAGAGCGCTCCAGCGACAGGCCTCGTCTCCTAGGCAACGGGCCCCGTCTCCTAGGCAACGGCAAAACCGTTGCGAAAACCGGGGCGACCCGCAGGTTTTGACCCGATTCTCCCCCCTTCACCAGAGTCCCCAGTCCGGCCCTGAGGCCCAAGACGGAGAACCGAAAGCCGGGCAGGGTCGCATGCGACCTTCCCCGTCCTGCTCCTTACCTCCCTCGCCTCCTCTGCGGTGTCGCCGGGCCGATCGCCGGTTGCCAGGTACATCCTGACACCTCAGCCATCCTCCACTTCCGGGTCCCGGCCGAGCATGCGCCGGAAGTGACGAAGGGACGGAGCCGCCAACGCGGCGAGGAAAGGAGGGGGGACGAGAAGCGCGCTCGCTCTCCGAAAAGAGTCCGTAGAGCTGCGAAAAGGGTAGAGGGATGCGCCCACGTTGCTTTTGTGAGTCAGGAAAGCCCAAACTCAAGAGTACCGTTCACACGAGACGCCAACCCCCGTAACTAGCCAACTTTGGCTGTCCTTATTTGCTATGCAGAGCCAAAGCAGCCGGGGCTGCAATGTCAGCTGCAGGGCCAAATAATATATGTGGGTATATGCATAATTTTGTTTTTGTTTTTATTTTGTTTTTTATTTTTTTATTTTTTTATCATTTTATTTTATTATTTTATTGTATTTTGTCATGTTCAGGTAATGTATATTGGAGGCCCTTTGAGAACTATATGCAATCAAATTTCATTTTAATGTATGCCAATTCACTCAAATATACATTCAAAGTGACAATAAAGTTATTTTCAGTCTAAGTCACAATGCAAAATACCTAAGGGGGACGTATCCCGATGCAACTTTTAGCCAAGAAAAATTTAAGTCCGGGATCTGCTAAGGGCCAAATAGCAAAGAGCAAGTTGGATCAAGAGCTCTGCTTTAATTTCCTGTGTCCTCCTTGTGGTTCTACGCAGGTTTATAATGGAGTGTCCTGACCAAACCACAAGATGGCAGCAAAGAGGCAGAAATCGCTCCTTGTAGTTCCCCCTCTGCCGGTCATTGGGATTGTTGCAGCCCAGGTTAGAACAGAGCTGGAAGGGACTTTGGAGGTCTTCTAGTCCAGCCCCCAGCTTAAGTAGGAAAAGTATACAATTTCAGATAACTGACTTATCAGATAGGTCAGTTATTATATGATTGGCATTCCTAAAGCATGTTTCTTCATCTCTCCCTTTAAATATAATATAATATTTTGCCTTTTAAAAAGTATTCCTCAAAATATTTCATTCTTCTGGGAGGGATGCATGTGATGGCTTCCCACACTGTTTCCAACCTTGTTGCTTTAACAATGACATCAAACTTTACATAAATTTTACTCATGTAAAAATCCCTAATAAAATAGCATTGATTATATTTTAATTTTTTAATTACTGATTTAAAATCAATTTAAATATTAATAAATAAAATCACTACATTAAAATATTAATTTCACTATATTTAATACAATTAAAATTATATTAATAAAAGAAGCTGGGTTGAAAGTAAAATAAGTCCCAGGGACTTACTATCCCAGGGAAAGTTTGATTTGCTAAGGGAATTTGGGCTCCTTCTAAAATGGCAAATGAGAAAAGGCTCAGAGTAAGTGTGAGAGAAAGGAAAAGGAGAGAAATGAATGTGGTCCTAAAAAATCTTTCATCAGAAGCACTGTAAGCAGAAGGGAATAACTTGAGTAGGAAAACCATATAGAGTAACTCGTAGGAAAACATACTCATGTAGATTTTGGGACTCTGTTCCACCAAGCTGAGCTTAAACCAAAGAGGAACGTATCAATAAATTGTGTAGAAAAAAGGAAGCTATTTCCTTGGAAAATGCCAGTTCCCTGGTGGGAAAGCTTATTCAGTGGAAAGAAAATGGAAAAAAGTTGCTTTGCATTTTACCGGTATGCGCTGGAGCTTTGCCTTTGGGAGGAAAAAATATTTAATGTGCACATTAAGTAAGAGCTCATTTTATATAATTGTATTTTTGAGGGAGGTGGGGGAAAAAAAAAAAGAGGGGGCACCCAGATTTGAACTGGGGACCTCTTGATCTGCAGTCAAATGCTCTACCACTGAGCTATACCCCCAGTTCCGTATTGGTGCTTTCCTAATAGGCTTAGTCATAGCTGTTTATTCATTGCTCACTTCCTTTCTTGCCCTTCCCAGTAATGAGCTTATTGCAAGGAAACGCAACTGCTTTGCTTCCTGCTCTGGGAATAGAGCTCAGTGGTAAAGCATTTTTGGCTGCGGATCATTTTTCTAAATGTTTAGTTAGGGAGGGCCGGAGCATAAAGGGAAAGTTGTGATGCAATAGAGGAGCTGTAAGTAAGGCTTCCCAGAAACCACATTTCCACAATGTAGTAGACATTAACGTAAAAGCACTAGTTAAATAGCATACGGGCAGCCATGAACGTTAAATAAAGAAATAAATACACACATATGTATTGGCCCTAGATTATGCCAACCCCTCTTGCCCAATCAGCATCTTAGTCACTGGAGTTATTGAATACTTTCTTGTGGGGTTTTTTTTTTCATTCCCTGAATCAAGTTTGCCCAGTTAAGTGGCAGTGCCAGATTCATCTTGAAAAGCTAAGCAGGGTTGGATCTAGATAGTGTTATGGATGGGATGTTGCTAGGACAGTCTTCTAGTTCAACCCTACACTCAAGCAGAAGATCATATACCATTCAGACAATTTCTGTCCAACTTCAAAGCTTCCACTGATGGAGCACCCATAATTTCTGGTGGCAAGCTGTTCCACTGGTTAATTGTTCTCATCGTCAGGAAATTTCTCCTGAGTTCTTGATTGGTTCTCTCCTTGGTTAGTTTCCATCCATTGTCTTGCCTTGCCTTCTGGGGCTTTGGAAAATAAATTGCCCCCCCCTCTTCTTTGTGGCAACCCCTCAAATATTGGAACGGTTGGAAGAAATGTCCGTATGGGTTTAGTTCCGAGTGGGGAGAAAGACACTGGAAACATGGAGGCTGTTTGGGAAGATGGTTTTAATGGTGGACAGGATCACATGCCTTAGAGGTCTTGGGCGAAGAAAAGGGGAAGAGATGCTGAGAGTGCCTGGGTTTTATATCCTTTCTGGTTTTGAACTACCTGGGGCACAGGAAGAGTATCCTGATTGGTTGCTGTCAGAGGTCATAGCTAGCTTTGTAGGTTGTCTGTGTGCTAAGTTTGGTTGAAACTTGGTAGGTGGTACAATGAAGGGCGATTAAATGGCTCTGCTGCAACCATTATAAATATGGGTCAGTTGCCAAGCAACTGAATTTTGATCATGTGACCATGGGGATGTTACAATGGTCATGTCTCTTTTTTCAGTGCCATGGTAATTTCGAACAGTCACTAAATGAACTCTTGTACGTCAAGGACTAACTATTTTATTTAGGCACCCCTCAGGCTTTCAAGAAGAGACTGGACTGCCATTTGTCAGAAATGGTGTAGGGTCTCCTGCATGGGCAGTGGGTTGGACTAGATGACCTACAAGGTCCCTTCCAACTCTGTTAATCTGTTATCTGTTATCCACTCACCGAGTGACTCTAGGTGGTAAATAAAACAAAACAAAGCTCACTAAGAGTGGCCAATAAGCATGGAATACTGACTTTCAGAAAAAGAAAAACAAAAAGCCATATTGGGCAAGAAGAAATATCTTGTCTGAGCATTTAACCACTTGGGGTATTAAGTTACGAGGTGCACAAATCCATCAAAGGAGCTTCTTGGAGGTCTCTCTCTCTCTCTCTCTCTCTTCATCCAGAAATGAGGATGTACGGCTACCCCGATTGGCAGTGCTTCAAAAATAACGTTCGTACACAACAAGCTACAGGAAATGAGCTCTGTTGACAGGAATTGACCTACATGGGAGAGAATTGCCTCCAATGCGGCAAGAGGAGGGGAAAAGAGAACCAAGGTGTCATGTGAAGGGCAAGAAAAACAGAAGGAGGTCATTGTGTCAACCTCTCGCCCCAAGGAAGGTGGAGATCCAGCTGTATATACATATCCCAGGCTGTCAAAGAGGGAAGCCATGTGAATGGCAGATTTGTTCCTGACAGAGTCGCCTCCACCTTTGGGTCTGAGGTGGGAGCTGTCTGGGGGGGGGGGGGGGTTTCCACACATGTTGCAAAACCTCTTTAGAAGGTTCTGTATTCTTGAGAGAGACTTCCCACACCTGGTCGTGGATCTAATAAACAGTTACGCCAGTCTAAACACTCCGGGGTACCTCTTAACCTCCAGCATAGAATGCTGTTTGAAGGAGGCCTTTGAGCAATTGAATTACATTTTAAAAAAAAAAACTTTATTGAATTTTGGAAAAGTATAAAATAGGAGAGAAGAGGGATAAAGACGGGTGAAAGAGAAAAAGGAGAGAAGAAAAGAAGCAAATAAGAGGAGAGGGCAGAGAAGGGAAAATATGAACTGTTGAAAAAAGTAACTTCTGACTTTCTTTGGTGCAGATGCAATGTAGTTACTTTTTTGATAGGACTTAGTGTTGCCTTCTTTTTTCTTTAACAAATATATTTATACACAAACACAAAACACTGTATCGCAGGGTTTGTGCTAAACCATGGTTTCCTTGTCATCTACTCCTGCACACAGTGATACAAATGAGACCACCTTGTTGCCTATTGCTAATTTGTCATAGCAAGTAACAGTTTTCTATCTCATCTTGGTGGATCTCAAAAAGCCAACTAAGTTTGGATCTGGCTAGTAAAAGGTATTAACAATTCCCAAGTTGGTGGCTAGATTGAGAATTTAGAGGACTATCCTGAGGAAAGACAAGAACAACCCACCTCTATATCACTGCCAAGAAAAATGAAACAAATTGGGGTGGGTTCTCCAGGAACTAAGCAAAAGCTGAGCTCAAATTCAGTCACTTCAAGATCCTTGTTCTTCCTTCTTAGAGTTTGTGGATATTTTAAGACTCGGACTTGACAGTCCATCAAGAGGAGGATATAATCTAATGCAGGATTGACAGCCCTTCAAATGAAGAATTAGTCTCAACAAAGCAAACAAGCCTATAGTAGTTCCTGATGATGAAAGATCTACCATATACAATACAGTAAATGTAAGCAAACTTTTGTATTTAATCATTGATACTTTTTTTTTTTGCTATAGTAAAAAAATCGTTTTGCAGGTTGTCTAGAATGCCATGGGAGGTCCTACTCTCTGCAGTCCCACAGGGACTAGTCTGTCTGCCAGAAAGTTATATTTCATTCTGGGCCCCAGTGCTCTAATGAATTAACCTGCTAGAGAAACAAACATAGACTGGTCATATCTCTCCCCTTCCCCCATCCATTCATCCTTCC